CCAATCAAAGTGGCACGCCGGACAGAATGGCTTCACTTAATAAATAAAAATAATTGCGTCAATGCAAAAAGGCAACGGAAAGTTGGCGCATGAGATTGACAGTGACAACTGAGGTGTCGAGGAGCACTTCGGCGTACAACTGGTCGTCAGGCAGAGAGGACAAATAAAACAAAAGGGCAGCAAACCCTCTCGTTCAATGTTTTCTAACAGCAACAAGAGAAAACAAAAACCAAAAGATACACCAATAAAAAAAAGTGTGAAGACAATTTCCTTCTCATCGTAACCCCCATTTATCTCAAAGCTGGAGGTTGTCGAAGTGCAAGAAATTATTCAAAACTGAGGAAAAAATTACATCTGAGACGTTTGCGTGATGAGCATCCGGAAATATTCTTGACGACAGTGAGGGAAAGGCAGACGCCTGAGTTCACTTCACCTTTGGCCTGACAAAAAAAATAATCCCACAAACATGCATTTGTATGGTTGTAGTAAAGCTTTACCTTCACAAATCAACAACAGTATTAACAAAGGGAATAACAAGCAGGAAAAATCCAGGCGATTGCAAGGGCAAAGCATCCTCACATTGGAATTATTGTACATCCTAAAGAAGAGCACTTGACAGGATAAAGAATAAGACCATAAAATCATTCTGCGACCACACAGACAAACACGCACTCACACACAATCATATCCCTCTCCCCCTGTTCAGTTTTATCACATCAGACACAAATAGGCCCAAAACACTCCATCACCCAAGAAATGGATGCAGAAACAAATAAAAATATAAAATTGGTAATAAATAAATTAAAAAATTTACTGCCTCCCACTGCAACAGTTTTACTCACAAAAATTAGTCAATGCACAACTGCACATCAAGTTTCTGTCCCCATAGCTTCCATCGATGCGGCCAACTGAAGGCCAAAACTTTTCGGTGTGTGAATGGCTCGAAGGGAATGCAGCAGTTTTCCGGGTGTATGGCCTGTCCCAATCATCTGATGTGACACACTTTGCCGTGTGCGGGGCATTCTTAAGAACGTTGTTCGTTGTGCTCTGTTCACCCTCCTCTATGGATGCAATTTCGGTACGAATGGAAATAAGTGCATCGGCCAAACAATCCAACTCCCGCTTTGGCTCTGACTCTGTGGCTTCAATCATGAGTGTTCCCGCAACAGGAAATGCCAGGGTAGGTGAGTGAAGGCCATAATCCATAAGTCGTTTCGCCACATCTTCTGCTTCAATTTGTGCTGTTTTTTTAAATGGTCTTAAATCTATGATAAACTCGTGAGCACAGAAATCGTTTTCCCCTAGAAAGAGAACTGGGCAGTGGCCGTCAAGACGCTTCTTTAAATAGTTGGCATTTAAAATCGCATACTCCGTGCATGTCTTGAGACCCCGTGAACCAAGCATCCAC